TGTGCTTTATTTTTCCTACAAGCGGGGTGTTAAACTTTGGTCATACTCAAGCGTGTATCACTCACCTGAACACAGTTTTTCAAACTGTTTTACTTTGCCACAGTGACGCATCTTTTAATTTCCATTTCTTGTCGTCATCTGCAAGGCTTATCAGTGATCCTTTCTATTCCTTTATGGTCTTTGATAAACTGGTGAATCGGTGCAGATCAAGAACCTTGATAAAAACGTGAATTGGTGCGGACCAAGACTCAGCTGTGCCAGGTTACAGCACCATATGGCATTTTTCTGCCAATAAAAAAATGCTTTCATAAAAATTGCCACCTTGGATGTTCACTCAATGCACCAGCCATGCCGGGGTGGGGAAGGGCTGGAGGTGAAAATAACTCAAAGGCAAGCCAACTGATGGCAGAGGATGAGCAAAGGGAAGGGGTGCAAGGACACAGGCTGCAAAACCCATCTGGGGAGGATGCTGAGCTGAGCAGGGAGCAGAGTCTGCCACCTGAGGTGCCCCCAGAGCCCCTCCAGGAGCAGCATGGTGGTGGTGTAAGGCGATCAGCTGGGTGTTGGGGACGTGCCACACGGCGTTCCCATCCTTCTGCTGCCACAAGTCGGGGGCCTTAAAGAAGTCAAAATTGTTTTTTTTTTCCATCAGCTTCGTTAACTTTATCACTCAATCTTGCAATCTGCTCAGTAAAAGATAACAAGTCAGTTTGAAAGGGTCCCTTCCCATAAAACCCCGTTGATTGGCATTAATTATATTTCCCTCTTTGTTAATCGGGATCCATGTGAGTCACTCCATTGTGCTGCTGGGACTCGTGTCAGGGAGACAGGCTTATAAATACCTACATCTTTCTATCTATCTACCTTCTTCATGAACTTCCACGATATTTACTTTCCCTCGGAGCTTCCCCAGTGTCCAGAAAGTTACCGGTGACCGCACACAGCTGCAGCGCTACGTTGACGTGTTGGGGATACATCCTCAGCAATCGCCTGACAAAGGCAGGCACATGATATATTCCACCGAAGGGAAGGTTTCCTGAACAATGAATTAATGTTACAGCCGTGAACAACCTTTACAAAATCACAAGAAGATTTACTTTGCCTGTTTATCTTGAGTTTCTCTATCATGATGTAGCACCAAGACTACAAAACGTCTTTTTTTTTAATGCATGAATGAGTTTTAAGGAAGGATTTATAGGGGCTGCAAAGCACAGGTGGATTTTTTGGATGGTCCCCAGCATGGAGTTTCACAGCACCTTTGCTCTTACAATACTAAACCACCTTTTGCCTTCCCTTCTCGTCAAATGCTGACAGCAACCCAGGAAACAACGAAGCAGCCCTGCTGTTACACTAGATGTGTAGCAACCTCATCACTTTTTTTTTTTTTTTTACTTTTTTTTTTTTTTTTTTTTTTTTAGTTTCAGAGCACCAAGGAGGTGAGAAATACATATTATATTTGGGCTTGTTTCATAGGAAAAGATGAGCTGCTGATTTGAAAATATCTGATAGGAGGTCAACAGCTTCAAATGGAATTGGAAAAATATCAGATTAATGCTGTTGCCACAGGCCTGATTAGAATTCACATCACACAAGAACATAAAAACACTTTTGGAGAGCAAGAGGATGTTTTATCGTCTGAGCACAGCGCTGTTTTCAAGATGCACAGAAGAAAAGAGCAAAATGAATTAGGAGTGCTTTCCGATTACTGAAATAAAAACCAGCAATTGAAAATTAGGACTGTCCTGGTTGAAACAAACACAAATAATCAACTCAAGCCCTGTGTTCTCGTGTCGGACGACGCTGACGATGGCTGCATTCCTCGCTGCCACCGCTGCCGTGAGCCTGGTGAGCTCTGGGCTTGGAGCCCTGGGACATCATCCCCAGACAGCCAGGGCAGAGACCCTGCTTGTTCCTGGCCAGGAGTGCCAGTCGCAGCTTAGCTTTTCTTCACTGATGACACTGTCTCAGGATTAGCTCTGCGGTTTGCATGAATCACATGGCTCTGTATGACTTGCTCCAAGTGCCCGGCGCTATATAAACCTAATAAATGACTCGTTCCTTCTGGCAGTGAAGTCTGTGCATGCTGCAGGTATCCTCTGTGGAGAAAATTCAGCCTGCGGCGTAGAGCCGAAGACTTTTCTCATTTTCTGTGTATCTCGTATCGGTTTTCTTTCTGCAGAATCACATGATTTACGGGCAAACGCGCTCACAAACATATTGTGTTAATTACCATTCATTGCTTTCCTTCCCTCCACCTTTGCCCTGCCTTGCTTTAGCCTGCTGCTTCCCCTGGGACTTTCTTGACCAAAGTCTTCTTTCAGCATTCACAAAAACCCCTCTCCCACAGGAGCAGCCACAGGCTGCTGGGGGCAGGGTTGGGGAGCCCCGAGGTGCTGCAGCCTCCCTGCACCCCACAAGGGCTGTTATGGGGGTGCCTTTATGTCCCCTTTGCCACCTACCTTCTCTCTCTACAACAAAGCAATAAGTCTTGCCGACAGGACTTACCCTTACAAGTACAGGATCCCCTTGAGCCCATAAATACTTCCCAGCATTGCCCAAGACTGCCAACAGCAACATTCCCCTACCCGTTTATAGGAGATGCTGCACGTGGCGTTAATACGACCATTAACACCCTTAATGTTTTTTCCCACTAACATTCTCTGCCTATAAACGAGTTTTTGTATTTTCAGTTGGTTCTGGTTTGACTTTCCTCTGTGCCTACTGGAGCTCGAGCCACCTGGATGTCAAGGAGTCGTCCTTTTAAATTTTGCTAAAAACTTTCATAAGAGTTTTACATTTTTCAAGCTGCTTTTGGAAAGGGAAGTAATGTTGGTGAGAAATTCAGGGGTATGACTTTTAATGCTTTAGAAACCTTTTATAGTTACCTTTCTTTTTTGGGGGGAACAAGGTGGAAAAAAAGGAAGAAGAGAGGAAGAAAACACCCACGAAGAAGAGCCACCCGTAATTTTTCATATAAGCCTTTTGTAAGACTTTCTGAACAAAGGAGAGGTTCCTCTCTCTGGAAGCCAGCGGGGTGAAAAGGACTTGCACATTTTTGAAGATTCAGCAAATGTTTGTTCCAATTTTTCAAACAACTCCCGCTGAAAGCACTTTTGTGCCTCCACAATAGCAGGTGGAAGGGTTCCAGCCCCAAGGAGGCGGGCGATGGGCATCGCCTGCCCCGCGTGGTGCTCGCTGCAGCGGCTTCAGTGGCACAGGGAGCGGCTGGGGGGGAGCAGGGAGGGAAGGAACCTGCGGGACATGAGGGAAGATCTGACAGGCTGGAAAAGCACATGGGCCTGAGGAATGGGGAAAGAGCTGGTGGATGGAAAAACTCCCAGACACTAATCCTGGGAGGATTTTCCTTTTTTAGTAAGTTCTCTTATAAGGAAGAGTGAACTGAGAAGGTACATTGGGTATGATCCTTGACGTTTTACAGTTGAGTTCTTCTTTTCTAGTACTGACGGCCTCAGCAACCTTCAGATGACCTGCCAGGGTGCTTGGCCCCAGGGGATGCTGCTGAAGGACCGAGGCATCAGCTGCAACCACCTGAGACCAAGCCTGAGCTCACCTGGGGCCCAAGTCCAACCGCAGTGAGAGGAGAGGGGACACTTGGAGGACATTCAAGGGCCTGGGCTGTAAGCCCTTCGGTAGAGAAGAAGGGAGCTTAAAATAAACCTCAAAATATTTGTTCCAAGGCAGAGAAAACGTGCTCTTTCCATACATTTGCTGTGTGTGTGCGCCATACACCGCCGTGTCCTGTAGCCCCATGTGTCCTCCAGGTTCCCACGTCCTCCATGGCAATGCGTGCTGTGCTCTGCAGAGAGCAGCACTGCTGACAAACACCATGCAAGAACCTGTGCACACACAAATATATTTATATCCCTCTCTGTGTGCATATATAACCTTCTTGTTGCCTTTACAACAGACCCTCCTGCTACCCGTGTCACACACACACCCCTCGGGGACCCGTGGAGGCTGTAATGCATAACGGAGGAGGATTTATCACCTTCTCTAATACCTGAGGAAAAGACTAATACTATTTTCTAAAGTACCGCATTGTTTTTGGGCTCAGCTCTACTGCTCTTAATATTTTATGCATGTGAATATGATGTACTGCAATGAAAATATCCTTACATCTTTTTCTAGTAAGTGCATCTATCAAAACAGAGAGTGATGTAGAGGAGCTCTGGGTCTGCAAGGCACAAGGAAATACATAAAAGATGAAGTCCTATTTATGTTGCTTGTGCATGGTAAAAAAAAAAAAAAACAACAAAAAACCACCAAACCAACAACAACCCTCCTACATGAAAGGAGCGCTCTTCAAGCTACAAAGTAAATCAGCCGGCATGTGGCCTCGCTGTGCTCGCGCATAAGGATCCAGGCTTTAATTACAGATCCCACTGCATTTCCAGAGGAATCCCCTTTGCTTTGCTGCGGGAGTTGGTGAGGCCAGGGAGCAGGGGAGAGGGGGTGCGCAGGGGACTGCAGCCTGACCCCGGGGCGCAGGGACACTTTTTGACCCAAATTTCACTTTATTCCTGTTCCTGGCTGTGCTGCCTCCCCCAGCCGCAGCCAGGCTCAGCCCAGCAGTGCCCGTGCAGCTCTGGGGCACTGAAGCCCAGGGGAAATTTGTGCAACCAGCTGTAAATGCAGGGCAGAGCCAGCACTCTGGGCAGCTTGGAGAGTCATGGAGCTGTGCATTGGGATACGCCGGAGCTGGTGCCTCTACCAGGAGCAATGTGCACGCATTAGTGCACTGGAGTGGGCTGATTTACCCCGAGCTCAGCAGTTAAACTGCTTTAGGGCTCACACGGGGCTACTTCAGGTCTCTCTCCGAGCAGGATTTTTGCTTAGCTGTGGCTCCGCAGGTGGGCGCCGTCCATTTGGAGCGTGGCAGGGAGCCTGGGTGGGGAGCCTTGGGGAAATAACGAAATGAGGAACGTGCAGAGGCAGCCTTCCGCCCGCGTTTCCTAACTCCGGAGCGGCTGACTCGGTAACCTCAGCCTCCTCAAGGCTGTTTGCACATCTGTGGGGGCACTCCTGGGCTGCAGGGGAGCAGACTGAGCGTGGTGATGGGGCCGGAGCCCAACGCAAGATTCTTGGGTTGCAGACCAATGCAGGATTCGGGACCAGCAGGCTTCAGCTGACGGCAGGGAAGTGCAAATGGGAAGAGCTTGTTTGGCTGTTGCAGGAGACACTTCCAAACGGGGACAAGGTGCCCTCCTTCTGTCCTATGTCCTCTGAGGCCCACCTCTTCCTCCCACCCACCTCCTTACCCCCAATTCCTCCTCCTCGTCCCTCCCACCCACATCCCAGACCTTCCTCCTCTGTCCTTGGACACCCGCTTCTCTTTCTCTCTTCATCCCACAGCTCTCCCCAAAGGCCAGGGCGTGCTCGCTCAGCTTCATTCCTTGTGACCGTGCTGCTGTGGCTGCAAGAACACCTCGTGTGGGTCGTTCTGCCTCGTTGGTCCCAGCAAACAGTTGGCTGCCTCCTCCTGAGCTTCTCCTGACGTCCCCTGTGCTGGCTCCACGGCCAGATGCTCCTGGCTACCTGCAGGTGGGTGCTGGCACCTGCGCCTCTTGCTGCACGGCCCTGCAATTCGCTTCTTTCCTAAGGAAGCTGAGTGGTTTTGTGGGCTTGTAAGTGTTTCATAACTTAATAACAGGTCGTATTAATTCATCTTTTTTTTTTTTTTTTTTTTTTTTTTTTTTTTTTTTTTTTGTGCTCTGCCTTTACTCTTTCAAAAGATGGAAGTACGCTTTTAAAAATAAAACTTTGCATATGCCGCATGTGGGAAGTGGTGATTTCTAGCTACGGACTGAGGGGGCAAAACTGTATAATTTAAAACTGCATCATAAATAATGAGTCTGATGCCTGTGTTACTGTGATTTTACACTAGTCTAAATGCGGAGTCCTGGAGCTGAGAGTCAGCCCCAATATGTTGTCACTCCGCTGCAGAGCAGCTAAACGCCGGGAGACGGATCCTTGGCGGGCACAAATGAGAAGAGTTTTATTAACTTCGTTTTTCATTACAGCTAATGAGCCAGGCTGTGGATCCTCCGGATGACTCAAACCGAGCACTTTTGCACCAGGAGGCAGGCTGGGGTAGGTGTGGAGCCCTGGACAGGAGTCAAGGACTGGCAAGACACCAGGAAAATACCTGCTCATCCTCGCTGCCTTCGGTGTAGCTATGATGACTTGTCCCAGCTGATGATCCGGCCCCGAAGCCACAAGGCAGCACCTGAGGCTGAATCTTGCTGCTCAGTGCCTCTGGTTTCTTTGCGAGATGCTAGCACAATGCAGGACAGGCCCAAGCCCCCAAGGGAGCAGACATTCCCCATAGACTCACCGATGCCCAGTCTCTGCCCAGATCTGCCTCTCCCCTGGGGGACCGCGACATCCACGCTCCATTTGTGGCGTGCACGTTGAAGTAAGGGCAGGGTGAAAAACCAAACCAAGCCACAGCCACGCACAGAACTGGAACAGAGCCGCCCAGACGTGGCCTGTGTCCATCCAGCTGCTTCACCCCATGAAGCAGAGAGGGTTCCCGCGGCTGCCCGCTGCCCCGGGGAGCTTGCACAAGGGCTGTGGGGAGCGGCGTGCTGCGACACGGCGCGTGAGTCAGCAAGGTGCCAGTCTTACACAAACCTGCACGCATTTCTGGAGCACGCTGCAGCTGAAAGGGCTGCCGGGAGTCCTGACAGGGGCGACAGTAGGAACAGAAAGGAGGAAGCAAATGCTGCTTTTCCTTCCCCCTCCTTAAGCCTGATTCCTCAGCCAAGACCTCCTCCAGGCGCAGAAGGCCCTGTGTTTCCGAGCTGCCAAGCAAAGGGCCAAACTGCTAATTCCTTTAACTTTGAGCTGAACGCATCTCTAAAATAATCCTCCTGCACCAGGCTCTCTGTCTTACGGTGCATTTGGCAGGGGGATTTTCACCACCTAACTTGTGAAAGGCAAAATGTCAACATGGGGGCACCACAGCGCTCCCTCTGCTCTTGCTGGGCATGGGCGATGCGGAGGGTTTTGGGATGGAGCTTGGAGGTTGTAACCCCCAGGGCAGCTTCCCAGCAGGGCCTTTTCCAACCTTGTGCATCCTGGGCAGCACCCCAGGGCCAGCGAGGAGATGAGAGAAGCCTCTCCTCACAGCCCAGGTGCTGCTGCAGCACAGCTCGCCTCGCCGCGGGGCTGGAGCCAGTGTGTCCCTTCCCCTCAGAGCAGCAAATCTTAATTTGGTACACGAGTGTCAACAGGTGTCGTGGAGGGAAGAGGGACGAGGGGATATCGGTGCAGCTGGAGGAAGTATTTATAGCTGCCTTTTATAAAAACCATATAGATCACATCGCTGTTAATGTATGTAACACAATCGGGAACCTGAGCTTTTCGTGATCCCCTGGCTGCAGGATTTCCTGTGGAATCCTCTACCGGCCGCAAAAACAAGCTAAAAATACCCGCATTAAAAACGATACACGCACTGAAACATGCACGTGCCTTCGCCTCCTCGCTGGCTGGTGACTAAGGTGGTGGCAATGGGAGGAGGGAAGAGTACAGCCCCTGGAAAACTCAGTAACGCCTGCTCCTGTGGGTCAAAGTCTCCCAGGTGTACATGGGTTGGAGCATTCACTGTAGAGAGGGTTTAGGAGCCCCACACATAAAAGCTAAGCTGAACCTGGGGTGCTGGCGGTGTCACCCACTCTCTGCAGGGACCAGGTCACTTCTGCCCCACTTCTAATGCTGCAGAGGGACCAGCTGCCCACATTTTAGGGGGGGGTGGCTGCCACAGCACGGGCACCAGGGATCGCGAAATGGGCTTTCTGCAGCTCTTCGTGAAAAATCCCTTCCTAGCAGGGCATCTCATGCAGAACAAGCTCCAGCTGTAAGGGCTGAGCCCTGGCTTTAATTTGTGGAATGATTTTCAAGCAGTACCAAGAGCAGGGGGGCAATCAGTGGAGAGAAATAGCTTCACCCTTCCTGTGCTGGTGGGGAAGGAGGCCCACGGGAACAAAGTCTTCCTCTGCTGTGTTTGGAGATCAGACCCAGCCTGCTTGGATATCTCTGAATGATGGCTAGAGAAGAGTAGGACCAGCATCACCCCTCGTTTTATATGCTTTAGCCTCTCTGGCTGTGATATGTGCCCTGCCACATCCCGTTCACAGCACGACTGCAAAGCCTCCTTGCCTGGCTTGTTGCTCGGATGGGTGGGTTCAGCAGGGTGGGTTCGGCATCTCACTTGTCCTAGGTCTGGAGTGCAACATTGCCCATGCTCATCCCCCACTGAGGGCAATTACTGCTTTCACAAGAACAAAAATGAGAAGGATCAGCCACAAAACACCCCTCCCTTGGGTTGATATACTCCAAATAGCATCAGGGGCACTCAGAAATGCACAATGCTGTTAATACAGATGGGAGGAAAACAAAAGAATGTTTTTCAGAGCTGGGTTTGGAGGGTTTTGAATCAGAAAGTCTCAGAGTCCTCTTGTGGCATTACAGCTGATGGGGGGCAGCCACATCAAATACTCCTTTTCCCCCCAGGTGGATGGACTAGACATAATCTGGTCCTTGTAGGATAGCAAGGCTGGGGTTATTTTTCTTTAGAGTTAACCACGAAGGTCTCCAGCCCTCTTTCCGTCCTCCATTAAATCCATTTTCCAATGAAATTGGAAACCTTGATTAACAACCTGCTAGGGGAGAGAAATCACTGGAGTCTTTCTGCTCGCCCAAGAGACGCTCCCTGCTCTGGGATAAATGTACATTTCATTTTTGTTCATATGCTGCATTTTTGTTCTGCAGAAGAGAAAAAGGGCTGAGCTGTCTTCTAGGACGACTACAGATTCACAGGGGAGAAGAAAAAAAAAGCAATTTCTTTGGAAGTCATTTTCTCTTAAGAAGTTCTGTCTGCATTTTTTATTAATAATACAACACCCTGGATGTGTCAAAAAATATGAAAATACATTTCCTGGTGGGGAGCTCCAGTCTCACAGACCCTGGCAGTACAGCTGGGTTGTCATTTGCTTCTTGGAATTTCATTTCCTAATCAACACGTCTGTGAAATCACTGCGTTTTCAAAGTCTGGCTTCCACAGCTGCTGTGATCAAAGCCTGGGGAGGTGGGGGCAGAGTGGGCAGGGGGAAACACGCCATCTTCAGCAGCAGCCTCCCCCAGAGGGAGAGGGAGGAGAAAGCCCATGCAGCAGAGAGAACTGAGACAAAGGGGGTGTTGATGTCCCCACGTGGGTTTAGTGTTTCAGAGAGAAACAAGAAAATAGGGATCTAGAGACCCAGCTCTCGACTTTGGTGTCCAACTGGTCTCTGCTTTAGCATTTTTGTGTGTTTGTTTGTTTTCCCTTCAAATTTAAGCATTGAGTTTCTTGGGCAGCAAGAGGCAAAGGAGCAGGGGTGTGGTAAAGCTGCTGAGATGGTGGCCCCGAGGAGCACAGCGTCCAGGGAGCAGCCACCTCTGCCAGTGAGCAAGGCTGGGAAACTGGGGGCGAAACAGCCTCTTCCCACACAGCGGGTCCCACAGGTATCCAGTGATACTCAGATACATTAAAATTCCCTGAATCAGATTCAGACGATCAGGTTTTGCTTCTCTGACACCTGCAGAGCCATAAATTCAGTGGGCTGACAGTCACCCAAAAGCCCTCCCAGGAAATGCAGGCTATGCATGTTTTCGAAGAAGATAGAGAGATATGAGAAAAAGAAGAAAGAAAAAAAAATATTTAAATAAAACAAAACAAAACCCAAACCACCCTGCCATCCTCATTTATCATGAAGAAGGATTATTCGCTGGTTTCTCAGAGCCCCACAAAGACACCGCCAGCTGCCTCCTGAAGGTTGTCCCTCTTCCCCGGCCAACCGTGTCCCTGCTGGCCGGGTGTGGGGGCTCTAGCAGCAGGGCACCAGCCTCGCCCTGTGCCTTGCATGGCACCGCGGTGCAGCTGGGGGCTCCTCACACGCTCACAAGGCAGGAGCGAGCCCCTTGTCTGTGTCTCCTGGGGCTGCTGGTCACTGAGTCACAGGATGTCCTGAGTTGGAAGGGATCCACAAGGGCCATTGAGTTCAACTTCTGACTCCACACAGCACTGCCCAAAAAACAGCCCACGTGTCTGAGAGCGGTGTCCAAACACTGTTTGAGCTCTGTCAGGCTCAGTGCTGTGACCACCACCCTGGGGAGCCTGTCCCAGTGCCCGACCACCCTCTGGGTGCAGAACCTGTCCCTAACCCCCAGCCTGTCCCTCGCCTGCCCCAGCTCCTGTCCCAGCTCCATGCCGTCCCCTCGGGTCCTGTTGCTGTCCCCAGGGAGCAGAGCTCAGCGCCTGCCCCTCCGCTCCCCTCGTGAGGGAGCTGCAGGCCGCCATGAGGCCTCCCCTCAGCCTGCTCTGCTCGGGGCTGAACAACCAAGGGGCCTCAGCTGCTCCTCGTACATCCTCCCCTCTAGGCCCTTCACCATCTCTCTAGCCCACCTTTAAGCACTCTTTAATAGTTTTGTCCTGCTATTGTAGTGCCCAAAACTGCACCCAGCAAGGCCACACCAGCACAGTGCAGAACAATCCCTCCCCTTGCCCAGCTAGCAACGGTGACTGATTCCTGCTTATCTGAGCCCATTTTGGGGACAGGCTGAGGATGCTTCTCTGTTCTCACCCATACCAACGAGGTGCCCGAATGTTTCATTGGGGCTCCCTTGCCTCCACCGGAGAGCTGTGTGGGGAAGCATCCAAGCAAGTGCCGCTGGTGCAGCTGCTCCTTCCCTCTCTGTGCCACCTGGAAAAAGATTTGGGAGCTGGGGCACCCACAGCACAGCAGCCACTCAGCCCTGTGGGGACGTGACGATGTCCTGCCAAGAACAAGCCAGCTGTGCACAGCCTGAAAGTGTCCTCCCACAGAAAGGGCAGCATTTTACCCTCAGAGCACGTGAACTGATATTACACGGAGCAGGGTTTTAAGATCATCCAGGTTGCCTGAAGGACACAGGCTGGAGCTCAGCGAGCAGTTCTTCCCAGGCAGAGCACTCAGCGCTTTATACCTTCCAGAGGAAAACACCTCCTGATGTACAGTCTGCGTGTGCTGCAGAGGCAGCTGAATCCCTTGAGCGGTTTCATGACACATCTGACAGGACAGGCTGATTTCCACCACCCCTCTCTCCAACCACCGCCTGCCAGAACAAGCAGCTCCCCACTCCCTGCAGCTTTCCCCCTGTGAGGCGTTTTGGGGTGGTGGTGACACAGCACCCGTGCCACCTTCCTGTCCCTGGGCTCCCCAAACCCCTCGGGGACATGCTGCAGGTGTGACCCTGCTTCCCCATGCAGGCTGCCAGCGGGTGCCAGGAGCCCCTTCCCCATCTAGCAGAGAATTTGCAATTATTGCTCAGATGGTTAAAAAAGGGTATGAAAGGGAAACGAGCATGGTGGGGGCTGGGAGGGAGGCAACCGATCCCGGTAGCTCTGGAGCCAGAAAATATTCAGGGGTGAGAAAATTGTGAAGGAATGGAGGAATGATTTTTTATTTTTTTAATTTTTAATGTATTTTGCTTTTCTCTCGCCGTTGCCGCTGGTTACCGGGGGGGCTTGGGGCGGCGGCTCCGGGGCACGGGCACCCC